TCCTAGCAGCTTCCATCAGGGAATATTTCTTCCCCTTTTGCTTTACAAAGGGACGAGAGAAGGATGGGAACAAAGCAAACCTCTGAAATCACACTAAAGATGCTTTGTTGAAAGCCAAGGGCCATGAGCACTCCTTCCTCTGTGCCTGCCTACCTGCTTCAGTTACTCTGCAACTGATGCACCTGCAGGGACAGGGACAAGTCTCATTCCTCCCACCGGTGGAGCTGGTCCTTTCCTGAATGTGGGATGAAGATACACGGGTGTAAATCACAGTTCAGACTTCCAACAGCCATGACTCCATGGCTGGAAATCCCATGGAGTGACCACAGCATCAAGCACATCCTGGACCATCCCAAAGCTTAAGCTGTGATGAGAAGAGCTCACAGCCTCTCAGCAAGAGAAGAGCCATTTCCCCCCCCTCCTCTATACCAGGACTCATATAAAAGCAATAATCTATATTCGTTTGGATTATACAAGCTACAAAACCCACCTCAGCTTCAGTTCCACATTTAACCAATCTCAGAAGCCATTTGTTGCCTCGTATATTACAAGGCAATAGAGATTTAAGGGATAATGGTCATGGCGGCAGAGTATACAAAGCAATAAACTGCTTTTGAGGTTGGTTAAATGCCAAGTGATGCTGAGGCCTCAATGCCATAAACATTATTTCTATTATATGACAAGATAAGAGGATACAATAAACCACAAAGAAGAAAAATCATCTTCTAGCCTCATGGAAGTTGTGGGCTCTGCGTTTCTCGGACGCTGCCCGAGCATCACCTCAGTGCCACAGGTTTAAAGGGAATAAACTGGTAAATTAAGGGGAGGTTTCAAAAGCAAATGGTTGTTTGAGGAAATGGCCTCAACGTGTAACTGGAGCATTGGAATTAGGACCCCAGTGATGATTCCTGTTACTTATGAAGAGGGAAATGGTGTGGAGAGGGGAGGCAGGGCTAGGGAAAGTCCTGCTCCTAGTAGAAGATACTCAATATTATGGCCCCTCCATTAGGCTGGGCAACAGGAGCGGCCCATACAGTCTTATTAATAAAGATGCTTCTCCTTGATGACACTTCATAAAGCCTCAAGTATCCAAAGCCTTCAGGAGAGGAGCAGAAGAGCAGCCTGAGGAGAAGGACCTGAGGCTGTTAGTCAATGAGAAGCTCCCCATGACCCAGCTGCAGAGTGTGCATGCATCAGCCCAGCTTAGTTTGACTCAAGAGAGTCAAGGAAAGCCTCACTTGAGGCACTGCTCTGTGGCTTCTGCTCTGTGTATTCTACCTCCCTCCTCATCCTCAGGCAGCAGCACGAAGGGGTATGTCCCTGCTGTAGGATACTTCTCCCTCCATACATAAAGGACATGGGAAAGGGGGTAAGGGAAGAGGACAGAGTCATTTGTCCTCTTTGAGGAGAACCCACATACATGACCTTGAGAAGAATTTGGTTTAAAAGCAGGATCTGCAGCACATTGAGGTGTCAGCTGTGGCACAGCAGCCTCGCTGTTAGGAAGCGATCTCGAGTCCAGGCTCCAAAAATAGCCACCATTCAAGACCTAGCAACCAAAACATGTTTACAGCCCCACTGAAAGCCCACTAGCTGTGATGATACGGGGGGTACAGCGAGATCTGCTCGTCTATTTTTGGTGGCTATTCCCTCTTCCCCATCCTCACCTCCTTGAAAAGCCTGGCAGCCTTTCTCTGCATAGAAACAGGGAAGGAAAGGGAGGAAAAAGGACATACACCATAAGAGACAGGGCTGGTATCAGCTCCAGAGGGAAAGCAGCAGCTCATGGTTCAAAGACATTACATTGGGAAGGAAAATAGGGGTTTTTCTTCCTTTAAAGGGGGAAAGTTACCTCTGGCTTCCCAGTGTCTCCAGTCTCCCGTGCAAATCAGTTCCCCCTTCTCCTTCTCCTGTGCTGCAGCACAGCACGTTGCAGTGATTGCAAGAGGCAGATCCCTAATTGTAGTGAGTGGAAAAGGACTGGGGGGGTTTGTCCCCATGCCCCTACCCCAGCTCACACTGAAATCCAGAAGATCATCTCCATTTACCCAGGGCCAAAGCAGCCTGTTCCCACCAAAACCAGAGTGCACTCCTCAAGCAGAGGAATAGCCAAAAGAAGAGGAATCTGCAGGGATAAAAACATGCCAATGGACTGGGCATGGGATCAAAGGTTTGGAAAAGGAAGAAACAAAGATGCTGGAGCCATGTAGTGAAGGGGCCTGGTGAGCCAAGTGCTACCCTGTGATAACCCAAGAGGCTCGACAGCCATCCCATTCCAGTGGTGTTTTTCCTGAGGGAAAAGCACCCAAAGGTCTTAAAGAATCAGGAAAAAAGGCTGAATCCTGCAGGAAGTTTCACCATCTCCAGTGCCAGACACAGCCTGGCAGCCTGGCTGGGTGTTGAGCTGGGAAAAAGCAGGAACATGGGATGCTTGGGTGTGCATTTGTGCGCCTGGGTGAAACAAAACCAGATTCCCTTCAGAAAGCTCAAAACTCTGGATTATCCAGAGTCTGAGAGGAGCCACAGGCACCAGCACGTGCGGGAAGTCAGGATCTTCCTGTGGCAGATCACACAGAGCGATGTTTAAAGCCAAAGGTCTGGATCTTTGGGAATGAGCAGAGAGAAGCGCAGCCCCCTCTGCCCCCTGTTAAGGCTTCACTTTAACAAGAATCCCCACAGAGAACCTGTTTCTGATGGCTCCCATCAAGGGGTCAGAGTTTAGTGCCAAAAGGCAGCACAAGCTGCTGGGGAAACAATGCAGCACGTGCTTCAGAGGCTGAGCTCTGCAGGCAGCTGCTGGGCACCATCAGCCCCCCAGCTTCAAATTCACATTCATTTTAAGATCCAAAGCTACCCATTGCATTCCCCTTGTGCTCAGCTCAGCACAGCCACCCAATCTTAGTCCACTTGCCCCAGAAAGCCCAGCTCATCCAGTGTTAATTTTAGTTGATGACAGGTTTGGGTACCACCGAGCTCCTCCAGAGGTACTGCTGCATGTTAGCAGTGAGCAGGATTTGGGAAGGCTCTTAAAAACCTCCAATGTGAAGCTGTGCACAGAAGAGAGGATGAAACAATGCATGGAAGACACTAGGACTTACAGGGAGAGGCTTGGAGCTGGGTGTATTTAGTCCAAAGGAATGTTAAGGATGATTTGATCAGTCAGTGCATACCTACAGGCATCACAAATCTCTTAACAAACCAACGCTGAACCAGACCCACAACCTGGAAGCTGCAGCTAAATAGGTTTAGCCTGGGACTAAGGCAGCATTTTTCCTTACCAGGAAGAGGAATTAACTATGAGAACAACTTCACCAAAGGCTCTGGTGAATTTCCCGTCACTGGAAACCTTTTCCATCAAGTTTGGATCATCACTATTTAATGCTCTGCTTTGAGCAGGTAGTGAAGGACGTTCTAGGAAGCCGTGCACGAGGTCAGGTTGGATCCCCATGAATCATCGTGCTCTGAATTACCCCGATTCTAACATTTCAATATTAACATGAAGAATTGGCAGAATTACCCATAAGCAGCAGTCTGGAACAGCACAAGGAGGAAGCAACCACCTTTATCTGTCATTTGTGGGAGATTGGGGGAGATTAAATTTAAATACATTGTTGTTTGCCTTAATTGCGTGTTTGAATCCGAGCTGAAGGTTGTATGATTGAAGTGCTCACACCATTAAGTGCTCAAATACAGCTCATACATTTTAGAAATGACTTGCACAATTTCACAGCCAAAGAGGTACAAGATAAAAAGCAGCCTCCCAAAAAAAAAAAAAAAAAAAAAAAAGAAAGAAAGAAGAAGATCACCTGCAAGTGAATGGAAACGACTCCAGATGAGACCAGACTTAGAATGGCCAAAAAGCTGAGTTACAACAATGTATTCTTACAAAGCCCCAATCTCCAAGAGTTACCAGATGAGATTTTGGCCCCATTTCTGTGCTCTAAGAATAAACATGGCACAGAATCCATATGCAGGCTCAAAAGGATGTGCCCTGGGGATGCAGAATTCTCTTTCATCTCAATTGAGAGCCCCACAAGAGGTATTAAGATATTAAATACACCAAAGAACTAAGCAGGGACGACGATGGGCGAGTACCCGGGGATGGGTAAGAGCTCTCAAACGCATCCCAGCATAATCACTTGGCAAGCTGACATCCCATGGCTGCAGCCAAGAAAACAAAGTGTGTGCACATCACTTAATACCTAATTAAAAGCTACAATCCCCCCCCTACCAAAGGCATCTTGGCACTTGGATGCTCACTGCTTCAGAAGAGGCAAACCCAGTTCTTGCTGTGCTCCACGCAGGGCTGTCCTGCCACAGAAGCTCCATGTCCTAACAGCTCCCAATTGCACAAGCCCCTGTTCCTCCCATTAACACAGTGTGAGAGCTGCCACCAAGCACCAGGGAGACCCTAAACTCAACTTTGGGAATGCATAACCAAACACAACGGAGAGGTGCCTTCCTGGTTGCACGATGGAACCAAGCTTTGCCCTAGGAAAGCAAGGCCATACCCAACTCTAGCACTTTGGCCAGGGAGGACAAATTCACAATGGGCCTCTTCTTTTTTTCCTGCAAGCCCAAAATAGACTCCAGCAGTTTGGGGTTCACATAACACAAACCATCAAGTGTCACATTCTCAGCTGCTTTAAGGAGTATGCGACAGCAGCAAACGCATCCCGACAGAGCTGAGTCTGTCCTTTGCTTCGACAGCCTTGAGAGAAGCTGAGGAACACTCCCAGCAAACATTTAACAGGAGATGAGGGTTCTCTCTGGGCTGTGTGGGAAACACCAGTGGAATACCAATACCCCGCAAAGCAAGGCAGGTTTCATTACTTGGGAGTGCACTTGCTCATAACCTGGATTTACACACTGCAAATCCTCTGATCTGATTACCTCCAGTGCTCACGTAAAACACCGGCTTTAAACTCTTTGCCTGAGTGATAAAACAGCCACTTTGATTCACACCACCACGTTCCCAATAAAGCACCCTGGAAGCATACCTGTCCGCAGCCGGGGGCATTGCACACAAACGGCCTGTCGTCACCCATATTTCATGCAGCTGAGTCAAGCTGTGGAGAGAAAAAAGAAGAGGAAATTGTTAAATAAGCTCCCAAAATTCAAATACCAAGAGCAGAAGCTGCTCTTTGCAGGGAGGGCGTTGATGAATGATGCAGGGAAGGAGGTTTCTTTGTGCACGATTGAGGAAGAGGGATTAATCCAAGTCAAGTTTAAATTAGACTTTGGAGAGCCCAGCTGGAGAAAAGAGCTGGAGTTTTCCATGCCTGGACTCCCACTAAGGCCCAGCATTGATTCTGAGAGGGCCAAAGGACTTTTGTGCGTCTCAGTGGCACCATCTGCAACTTGGGGATGATGCTCATAGAATGCTTTGGGTTGTAAAGGACCTTAAGATCATCCAGTTTCAACCCCCTGCCACAGGGAGGGACACCTGCCACTAGAGCAGCTAGCTCCAAGCCCCATCCAACCTGGCCTTGAACACTGCCAGGGATGGTTCCTCCAAACCTTCTCCATTCAAACCATTCCAGCACCTCACCACCCTCACAGAAAAACTTCCTCATCTCCAACCTGAACTTTCCCTGTTCCAGTTTGAACCCATCACCCCTTGTCCTATTGCTCCACTCCCTGATGAAGGTCCCTCTCCAGCATCCTTGTAGCCCCCTTCAGACACTGGAAGCTACTCTACACCAGCACAGGACCACCCTGCATAGGAAAGACCTCTGGAACACCCCCCAGATGGAGGCATTGAGGAAAGCACAGACACAGAAGCAAAGACAATCTACAGAGGGGGAAAAAAAAAGCGTGAGCTTGAAGCGATGAAATAAATCCAAGTCCTCTCTATGTACAAGTTATATTTTCAATGGGAGAGAACTAAAATTTGTCATTTAATTAATTAAGGGATTATAGGAGTGGTGCTCTGGTTTACAAGGCAATAATCTGGCTCCCTAGTGGGTAAACTACAAGGCTGATGGCAGGGGTAGTTTATCACAGCTTATAGCCAAGGATAACAAAACACTCACTCCTATTATGCTACAAGTGAAGCTGTCCTTATTAATAAGAAATCAAGAGTAAATAAAGTCACCCCCCCCCACCTCCAGAAATGCTGCTGCCCCCCCCCCCCACTGCTCTCTTTATAGCAGGATTTTAAAAAGCCATAACAAAGCAAATGCTTTCTCTTCAGGGGGTTGCCTCTGCGAGCACGTTCCGGCTCTTCACATCCCTTCCAGCATCTCTTCCTCGGCACTTGGCTCCAGTGACACATGTCAGCTCGCTGCAGGCAAGAGCAGAACTGAAACCCAAACGTGGCCACAAAGCCCTTTTGAGGGCCCTTTTTTGCCTTTCTAACCAGTCACACACGCACCGAGCAGCTCGAGAGGCTGGGGAGGGGTTGTTATTTTTAGGAGCCATATGAGAAAGTGCTCCAAGAATGCGACGGAACAGCGGAGGGGGAATGCTGAGGGACAGCAAATACTCCCCTTCTGCTTGGATTGAAGAGGCACAGACATCACTTAGGGCTTGAAAACAAGATTATTCTTGTATTACCATGTGCTAAAGCAGCTAAAATGGGTGGCTACAAGGGGGAAGGGGGGATTCCCCTCTCTGAGCACTGGCTTGGCCGCAGCACACAAAGCAACAACCAAAAGCTGTAAGTAGCTGCCAGGTCTTCTCCTGCAAGAAGAGGAAAGATCTCCACAACCCTGGCCTATGGGTGGATTTAGCAAGGAAAACTCCAGGGCCTATACAAACACAAGCTCCCAAAGGAGGAAGAGCCCTCTCACAAATGGAACAGGCGAGCAGCCAAAACGCTCCCTTGTACAGGACAAGTGTAAGGATAAAGGCAATAAAGGTGGCCAGGAACATAGAATCATAGAATGGGTTGGGGTGGAAAGGACCTTAAAGCTCATCCAGTTTCAACTCCCTGCCACCGGCAGGGATACCTTCCACTAGAGCAGCTTGGTCCAACCTGGCCATGAACACTGCCAGGGATGGGGCAGCCACAGCTTCTCTGGGCACCCCGTGCCAGCGCCTCAGCACCCTCATAGGGAAGAACAAGGCCAGGCTGAATGGAGCTTGGAGCAACCCGCTCCAGTGGAAGGTGTCCCTGCCCGTGGCAAGGGGTTGGAACTGGAGGAGCTTTAAGGTCCCTTCCAGCCCAAACCAGTCTGCGACTCGATGAAGCAGCTCCAGGTTAAGAGCTGTGGTGCTGAGAGCAGCAAAGTCACCAGACGTTAAAGGACAGTTACAATGCCTCTTGCTGTCAAAGTGAGGCCAGTTCTGGAAGTGTTTGAAGAGTGCTTAAATCACCCTCCTACATTTAAGCTCAGGTGCGTGGGATGAGGTTGAGGATGCGCTTATTCCAGCCACAAACAAATCTGATTGTTAAACAAGCAGAGGAATTATAATGGAGGGAGGGTGCTGGATCTCACAGAGCAGCCAACCCTGGGCTGGCTTAATTACACAGGTCATGGATCTGCCCTTACCCGAGCAGCCCAAGCCTTCCCCAACATGAAGAACCTCAGGGTCTCTCTACATCCTATTCAGAGGGACCTTACCGCTCTCTACTGCCTGACAGGACGATGGAGCCATGAAGGGGCTGCTCCCAAGGGATGAGACAAGAAGAAATGGCCTCAAGCTGCACCAGGGCAGGTTTAGATGGAGCTGAGGAACAATTCCTTCCCCAGAGGGTGCTCAGGCATTGGAACAGGCTGCCCAGGGCAGGGCTGCAGTCACCGTCCCTGCAAGTGCTCACACACCTTGGAGACAAGGCTCTCAGTGCCATGCGTTAGTGGTGGCCTTGGCAGTGCTGGGAATGGTTGGGATTGATCTTAAAGGTCTTTTCCAACCTGGTTGATCCTATTCTATTCTGTGCTTCCAACGCATATAAAAGCTAGTAGAGAAATTAAAGAACCAGAGGAGCTGTCAGTCCCCATGCTCTGATAACACTACCTAAAACAGAGAGCAGGAAAACAAACCAGGGCTGCCTGCAGGTGACTTCTGAGGTCCTAACAAGCAGCTCCATTAAAACCCAAGAGCAGCCCATTGCAAAGCCCTCCGTTTACTTGATCTTGCAAAGCATCAGGAGGATTCACTCATTCCTTAGAGCAAGATTTAGCTGCTCATTCACTACTGCCTATGCCTGGTATGTACATACATGTGCTCAGATTTATGTCACATTTAGGCAGGATAAATTGCTTCAATAAATTCTATTCTGAAGAACAGGCAGAATAAGCAGCTGATTGGATACTGGGAGCACATTCCCATTCCTCTTCCTGCAGCGGCAGGACAGTATTTCACTGCTTTGATGAGTTTCAGCATGTTGGAAACAGCAAGGTGAAGGGAAGAAATGCAGACAGATTACTGAAGCGTGCTTCCAAGTTCTGTCAGCACGGCCCTGACAAGCTGCTGCTGTCTCAGGGAGAGCTGAAAAGCCATTTTCAACCCAAATACACTGTGCTCCAAGAGCCTGTGTGTGTTTTCTGTCTCTTTTGCCTTATTAACTCATGCAAACGACCTCTAGGCTGGCTGTAAAAGAAGGGAAGCTGAAGCCACACTTCACAGCGGTCTCCAGTGTGTGTTGTGCTGATAATCAGACACCCCTTGGAGCTTGCACAGGGTATTTAAGAGCACAGATTTCCTGAAGCCTACTTGTATACAGCAGTGCTCTCAACGAGAGCAACTCCTCTGGAGCAGGCACAGCATGGGGGAAAACAGAATAAACATGAGCTTTGCATCCAAGAGAGCATCTGCTCTGCTGTGGATCTCAGTCCCACCTTCAACCGCAGCTTTAACTCCTCATCAAAGCAACTGCAGCATCACAAGGGGATGGTTGTGAAGAGGGACAAGCAGAGCCCAGCCAAAGGGCACACTTGACCAGTCAGTCGTGCAGCACTGCTAATCCAGAGTGTCAGCGCTAACAGAGCTATGACAGCTTCTTCCTGAAGTTAATCTCCTCCTTGATTTGTTGGGACATCGCCTCTTCCTATTGCTAGCACGGAGATAAATGAGAAATGTTCTGTGGAGCAGCTCAGTGCATGCCAGGATGCTGGGCTCACACTGAGCTGACACAGGAGGCACGTGTTGTGATAGCGTCCAGGAGATGAGGGGCTCTTCCCATGACCTGGCTTCAGTGTGGGCTTGAGCCTAGAACCACCCCCGTGTGCTGGGCTGCACCCCCAGAGCACGAGCAGCAGCACAGGGAAGGGATCCTGCCCCTTTACTGCACTCTGTGAGACACCCCCCTGCAGTCCTGATCCAGCTCTGGGCCAGCAGCACAAGAGGGACATGGAGCTGTTGGGGCAAGGCCAGAGAAGGCCACAGAGATGCTGCGAGGGCTGGAGCAGCTCTGCTCTGGAGCCAGGCTGAAAGAGCTGGGCTGGGTCAGCCTGGAGAAGAGAAGGCTCCTGAAGGGGAGACCTGAGAGCAGCTCCAGTGCCTGAAGGGGCTCCAAGAAACCTGGAGAGGGGCTTTGGACAAGGGATGCAGGGACAGGACAAGGGGAATGGCTTTAACCTGCCAGAGGGGAGACTGAGATGAGCTCTGAGGCAGAAGCTCTTCTCACCCAAACTGAACTGCTCATCAGATCCTCTGTTTGCAATGAAGAACTTGCCTGGGCCCCCAGCTGAGGAGAAGGGATTTTACTTACCTCAGAACCCAAAATTTCCCCTTCTTTCCAAGTTCCATTCTTCCTGCAGCTACTCAAGCCAGCCCATATGCTACTGTCCCCCTGGTACATCACTCCATAAACTGAAGTGGTCCCAAAGCATGTTAACTAAGCCATTAAGAAAAAACTAAGCCCATTATCCTAGTCTAGACAGACACCTAGGGGTAATATTTTAAGTCCCTTAAAAGGAATTAGACGTATTACATGCATCAACAGCAGCAATGAAAGAGCAGCCTTCCTGAACAGGATTTCCCCCAGGAAGTGTGTTGGCACCTCATGGAACCCATTTGACAAACTTCAATTTGGAAACAGTTTAGGAAGAGACAAGAGAAGCAGGAAATGTGGTTTTGAAAGCACATTCAGGGATCTTTTCAATCCAAGATGCTCCTTATCCTTCCA